TGGTCCCCTTCCATGGTCGTTGGCTTCATCCGATGGTTCATTAGCCAAGACAAACAAAGCAATTCTTTCCAAGCTACTCGAAAATGGAGTAGAATGCCTGCCGACTTTACCTTATCTGACAACAGCTGTCATCATAGACGCCATGGCAATGCTGCAGACGCTAGTAAGGATACCTGATAGATTTTCTGAGCTGGCAGACCTGGTGATGACCAGAATTCTGATAGAGGCTGTAGAGGCAGCAAGAATCGACTTTGTAGGAGATCAATATCCAGCTAACTCAATTAAAAACACCGAGAGGAACAAGCGAGGCAGAGATGGTGAGATAGTCATCAACATTACCAATGGTCAACAGTTCTGCCCTCGTCAGTGGAGAAAGTTCATGGCAAAGGGAAGCAACAAAACCGGTCTCTTAAACTTCCTTGCACGTGAGTGGTCACAAAATGCGGTTTACGCCGAGAAAATCAAAGAACGCACTCTCTTTATCACTCATGGAGACAATTGCACCAAACTCTCCGCCTCTGATGGTACAATTACTGCATGCACAGTCTTCGAACTTTGCAGCAATCAAGAAGAAGCTGATACAAGAATGCTCCTCCACGCAAATCATGCTTCTCAAAATGGACATCAGCACATTGCTATAAGGTCATCTGATACAGATGTAGCAGTTCTAGCTTGCCATTACCAAGCTGTCATTGCTGCTGACATAACACTGATCAGCGGCACTAAAAGTAGCTCTCGCATTGTGAGTATCCGACAAGTATGTGAAAAGCTTGGCCGAGAGATATGTGAAGTACTTCCAAGCCTACATGCCATAACCGGTTGTGATAGTGTCAGTGCCTTTGCTACCAAAGGAAAGAAGAAAGCACTTGATATTCTGCAGTTGAATCCAGCTCTGAGGCAAATTGTCAGTAGTCTTGGTGAGAGGCTCCCTCCTAATGAAGAAGATTTAAAGAAGATGGAACAATTTGTTTGTGTTTTGTACAATGACTCTAGATGCAATGATGTAAACGAACTCAGGTACAAGTTGTTTTGCAAAAGCAGAAACCTGCAGTCACACCAGCTTCCACCAACAAAAGGAGCTCTGGCATACCACCTCAAGCGTGCTAACTATCAGGCCTTCCTCTGGAAGCATGCCCTAGAGACACAAACGGACCAGGCGCCCGATGGCCATGGTTGGCAGATGAAAGAAGGCCAACTGGAAATCTACTAGACTAACCAGGCGCCAGCCCCCGATGCTGTGATGGAGCTTGTATGCTGTGGCTGCAAAGGATTGTGTCAAACACGACGCTGCTCTTGTGTTGGCAATGGTCTTCCCTGCACTGAGGCATGTACATGCCAAGATAACTGTGTCAAGATAGTGAAGAACATGATGATAGTGATGACAATACTGATGTTGATGATACTGATGACGATACCGAAGATAAAAATGACAGTTAAATTCAGATTTGGTGACGCTAATTAGTATCGGCTGTCTAGTTGACGTATGTAAATCTATGAGTTGAATGACTACAAAAATGTAATTTGATCGTATGACTTAAAAGTAGTTTTTGGTCAGAAAAAAGCCAGTGAAAATGCTTCGATGGTCAACATCAAAACAAAAACAGTGTAATATATGTGTATTACAAGTTCAGTAGGCAACCTTGCCATGGAAGCAGTATAAACAGCTACTGTGATGCATAACCTTTTAGTTATCATAATAAAAATCGGCAAATTTCAATTACAAACTCATTTAATCGCGTTCGTTAGAACGCATCCTAATCTGGTGTTCCTGTGGCACTAAGGCAGAAATTATCGAGCTATCACGGGCGACTGCAGATTAGCCGCCCCTATTAATTTTTTTAGGGGCACCTCGGCCGGGAAGCTGGACTTCTTTTGACTCGAGGAAGTTTCGTAATTTTTCCGTAAGTGACGAACGCCGGTCCGTAGTCAATGATTACCACTAGTTTCTAAAAGATATTAATGTTTAGAGGTCACAAAGCTCTTCCCCCACCCCACCCCCAGCTAAATTTGTATTTACCTGCAAGGGCTTCAGTTAAGCAGTATTCCCGAAAAATGTAAGGCCAGTAAGACCAAACATTTCTGTGCTTCCTTCTCAATTCCGTGTGTTCAAAAAACACTCACTAGTACAAAGTACACGGTTAAAGTAAGAAGTGTAGCCCAATGTGCTTATTAAACGTGGACGGTTGTCATGGCAACTAAAGAAAACATATTCGGTGAGTTCGTTTCATAAAATAGGGTGAGGTTAGTATTTTTGCCCAGTTTGGTGTAAAACCGTTTGGTATTTACACAGAAAGTTATCTTTTGCAATTCTTATACATTTGGGAAGCGCAATTTGTCCTTACCCACCCCCCCTCAGAAACAGTTGATTTTCTCACTTAAGCACCGGTTACACAAAAAGTAACAGGTAGATTATCAAAATATGGAAATCAAGCTTTAATTTGATACTAAATTCACTATGTCTTACGGGGGGTGCTACGAAAATTGATTTTTAGCCACATTTCAGGACTTGGCTCATGGACTATTTACAATGGTCTATGGAATAATGGAAACGCAACCTCTGTTGGCTCCAAACCGTTACTTCTTGAAACGGAGACTTTGTATCTTTTAATGTTTAAAAACGTTGTCACACAACACACAAATTGTACCAGTGGAATTGCATTTCAACAACTCAATACGTCAAATGATAATTAAGTAATAAAAAGAATTATTGAAGATCACAAACACTTGCCGATGCTAAAAGGCAACAAGGCTAGCCTTAAAAACATTAAAGCCATTCTTCAACATCACATCATCTCTACATAATCAAACAGGAAAATAGCTCAGCTAAAAGAGCTTTTACTGAGACAATCCAACTCATTTTCAAGTGTACCTGATTGTACTGTTGAGAACTACATTGAGGCTCCTGAGAGGAACCACCGTAATCTACCTCATAAACAACGGAATGACTTTGTTCCTGTAACGTTTGTCGATGACTCATTATCAAGGTGAAAACACAAGAAACTGTGACTGAAACTGCAGGCATCAAAGGACTTAACACCAGTGAAACGTGGCTATACACCTGAAATACATCCCACCAACAAACCAAAAGGGAGTAAGCCAACATAACACACCAACAGAACTGAAAATTAGAGTGAGACGAAGCTACTGAGGATCTATACTTTGAGCAATCACCAGGAATTAAATCACTTAAGGAAATGGTTGTTGCCCTACAAAAGAACAGATTGTCCTCAAGTGATAGGGAAGAACAATTTGAAAGAGATTTTAAACTGTTAGACAATTCAGAAGATTTATTTTTCAAAACACTTGACGAGCCCATCAAAAATAAAAAGCAAAGGATGTGTGCCAAGTCTTACATGCCTGATTTGTTTGACGAAACATCTAATTATCAAATAGTAAAAACAACCGAATACAGGGAAATTGACAGATTAATGACACCAAAGCTGGGAATTAATTATAATCACTTGGATGAGGTCAGGCGTTTCATTTTGCAGAAAGGATTTGAAGAGCTTCTGATTATCTGATTGATTCAGATCTTAAAATATTACAGTCTAAAATAAATCATACTTTCAGAGCATTTATGACTAACAGTCCTCGACTCCAAAAAAGTTCAGTCATAAATCCATCAACTCCCAAACAAAAATCCTTGGGTAAACATTGCAATTTGACAAACTGAAGCAAAACCCCATGGGAGTCACACTCCTTCATTCTGCTTTCCCACTAAATTGTCCTAAATGGGTTTGGATGTCCTGGGTCATGAGTCTAATACCCCATTCACACCAACTAAACATGTTTAACTAAACACAGTTTAGATAAACACTGGTTTAACTAAACGTGTTTTGCTAAAAAACTGTTCACATCGAAAACGAGTGTAGGAGTTACTTTCAGCCTCGTCTTGAAGTTTGCAGCCTCACTTTCATAATGTAAACATCACGCAATCTAATAAAACGCAATCTTCATGTTGCGGGAGTTTTAAGTTACTTAAAATTGAATTTGAAGATGAACGGTCCAGCTATGGCTTTATTTTTGGCCCAGACAAGGAAAGCTCAAGAACGAAAACTTATTTGTAAACGGAAAAGGGATGCCAGAAGGAGATTTCAGGCATATGTACGCCGCCGACGCGTCGCTACACAGCTATTTGTTTTGTTGCTTACTCGCAACGTTTTTCCTCTCGTTCTCGGCGTACGAAAAATATGGGCGAAACGGAGGGCTGCCACGTTTTGGGAGGAGACTTGTCAGGGCTGGAGCGATCAAGACTGGAAGGAAAACTTTCGAATGTCACGAGTGGCCTTTGAATATATAGCTATGGAGCTATCACCCTTCATTTCAAAGAGGGACACAAACTTTCGCAAAGCAATATCTGCTCGCCAGCGACTTGCGGTAACTCTGTACCGGCTTGCCGATACCGCGTCTTACCGTACGATTGCAAACCTTTTTGCAATTGGGAAATCCACGGTCTGCGAAATCGTTGTTCAGGTATGCAATGCCATCGTACAATTCCTTCTTCCAAGGTACATACGACTTCCACAATCGGCACAAGAAATTCGGGAAAGGATTGATGAGTCGCGTGACCGTGCGGGTTTTCCTCAGGTTGTAGCTTGTGTTGATGGATGCCACATCCCAATTAAAGCCCTACAAAACAACCCGGAAGACTATGTTAATCGAAAGGGTTTTCATTCGATTGTTCTGCAGGGATTAGTGGATGCGAACTATTTGTTTTTAGACATTTGTGTTGGATGGCCTGGAAAAGTGCACGATCTTGCGCGCTTGTTTAAAAAACCTCACTGTACACGTCCCTTTGTGGTGGTATCTTCACACCAGATGATAGTGTATGCGATACGATCAATGGTGTGAGGGTGCCACCACTAATTCTTGGAGACTCGGCTTACCCACTGCAAGACTGGCTGATGAAGCCTTACGTGGACCGAGGAAACCTGAGCGCTGAGGAATTACAGTTTAACAATCTTCTAAGCATCACAAGAGTTGTAGTAGAGAATGGATATGGAAGATTAAAAGGAAGATTTCCTGCGCTTGCAAAGCGGCTAGATCTGAATGTAAATAATTGTTGTACTGTAATTGCGGCTTGCTGTGTACTGCACAATTTTTGTGAAATCATGAAGGAGGAATTTGAAGAACAATGGCTTCTTGACATTCCAATCAATGGAGCGATCTGCCCAAACGAAAATGTAAACCAGCAGCAAGACAGGAATGCTGCAGCAATCAGAGAAGCCATAAGAATTTTTCTGTCTTAAACAAACTTTGTAATAATTTTTAGACGTCATCACAACCCAGGGTTTAAGTGATGGGGACAATCAAATGCATGGGGGCAAGAATCAAAACCCAAAAAATGCCTAGCCAGTAGGGCTTCCAATTGATAAAACCCCCAAAAGCCCTGAACCAAAATTTAACCCCCAACAAATATCATGAAAATTTTCGAGCGAAAAGTTTGGTTGTTCTTTGAAAACATCAAATCCAAAAAATTGTTTGATCACCCCTATTACTTGAAATCCGGACTACCCCTCTGGGCATTACAATGTAATGGTCAAATCCAAATCGAAGCTTTCAACATCCATCCTGGTGAATGCCCCCATGAATTTGAAGTTTGGAAAAGTTAGCCTTTCACCAAAAATTCATCCAAATCCAGCACAAATATCTGTTTTTTAGGCCCCTTTGAAGTCATCAGTAATCATTACCTCAGTCTCTACAATGATCAGGGGCACCCAATGACTAAATGTTTCCAAATACACCAGAAGTGTCTCAAATGGTTTTCTCTGTGCTTAAGAACCCTGTTTGGTTAATTTGGAGTTGCCCTAAAAACTATTTATCTGCTCGGATGTCTCAGGAGAACTTTGGTTATCACAAAAGTCTTAAGTGGCTTTTTCGTCTCATACTATAGTGTTAGCCTCCCTTATGGGTCCGGTTGAAAGTTTGAGGACATGAAGTAGCCTTTTTAGGAGACTTTTTTTAAACAATAATCACAATATCTTGGTATTAAAATGTGAATAACACAACCTTCGAAAACCATAGTTAAGAGTTTAGAAAACCTCCGAATATTTTAGACGAATGGAATGGTCATCCAGCAATTTTTAGCTTTTCTAAAGCGTTAGAAATTTCTAGGCAATATTTGCTCCTTCAAACAGTTATTTTACAGAAAAAGTCACTGGGTGTCCCTGAATGATGTTCATACATCATGCAAGCATGGGAATGTGTGTATATAATTTAATGGGCCAATTGCCATTTACATGTAACATGACAGTGGCAGATCAGATCTAGGGCACACTATTTTTAATGTGAAGTGAGGCCTGTAGAGGTTAAGACCTGTTTCTTGAAAGTCCCAGTAACTTTGTGGGTCCAACATAAAATAGTCAAATAAAAATCTAAAGAATAACAGCAAGGGTCCCATCTAATAAACTGGTATAACAGATCTTGTTTTGTTAGCCAATATTTTACAATGCTGTGGTGCCGGGTTTTTTCCTTGGTGGGGCATAACTGGGAGTATGTGTAATATTGGCATGACAGTGTTAACGATGAGTGCTGAAAGCACGAGAAACTAGGGGTGTTCGGGGGGCATGCTCCCCTTGCAAAATTTTGAAAATTTAAGTACTCTAGGATGCAATCTAGAGCAATCTGAACTCTAAAATTTAGCAAGCACCAGGATTTCATTGGGGTGAACAAAGTAAGAAAAACTTGACGGCCTTTCCCAGCTTAGCAAAAAAACTTATCAAACTTGAATACTTTCGAAGAAAATTTTCAATATAATTTATTGTCAGTTTACCAAAGCTAAACTGTTACCATTACCATTCAATACATGGTTTGAGAAGCTTTTAATTGACATCAAATTTTCCAAAGTGATTTTGCCTGTCATTTGATGTTGAAAAACACTGATTTCTAATGTCTGCTATGTTCAGTGTTCTAATGTCTGCCATGTTCAGTGTTCATGTTCATCATGCAGTGTTTCAATCTTTTTTTGCGACATACTTGTTTGAATATACTGGTCTTGAGCGTTCTTTAAATAGCAGAGACCGAGCGCTCATTCACAGCATTTGTGGCAGGTACAACAACAAGTTTTAAACTTGTATATGCTAAACTATTTAAATCTTCATCTTGAATGACACAAAATGCTACTAAATATGGTCATTAATATACAGCAGAATATAGCTGATTGATTTTTAATAAAACAAATTTTTTTACTGTAAGTCTTATGTTTGAGTTTTTTCCACTGATAGCTATCTATAAAAAAAAATTTACAGTAATTCGCTGCACATCAGAGTTTGATGCATTTGATGTCCAAGAGAGTCAAGAATGATCATAGTTTAAGTGAGCAGAGTTGGATCTTCAGGGCAATTAGATATCACTCAGGGGAGGGGTTTAACAGGTTTCCTTTCTCCTTTTCATGAATGTAAGAGGGGGTTGAAAATTTTTCTCTGTGTGAGAGGGCATGGTCTGCACATTCCCTCCTATCCCTTCCAAAAAATCTTAATAATAATCCACACCACATGTACGTTATGTGAGCTGTTTATTGTGCTACAAGCAATGCAAACCACAAACAAAATATTATTTACTTTTTATTGCTTGTTGTCGGTGTTATCACTTTGATAATAACTTCTATTTACCCAAACCATGCTGCCTGGAAATTCTGAAAGTCAAGTTTGATAATCAAGAAAGTTGATATGTATCGGTATATGACTATTTTTTACATGTAAGAAGTTGTCACAATAACATTGCAATCTTAAAAGGTCAGAGCGCATTTACACTGATGAAAGAAAAAACATAATCCCATAATGAAAGCTACAAGTGGTCCATACCATCCGAAGATCACAGGGTTTAACCAAAAGCATTATTCCGTCACCAACATGATTTTAATAATTAACACATGCAACTATGGTATTTCATTAGAAGGTATAATGCTATCAACAAGATCAGATATTGAACCTAATGAAGAATAGTCGTGAAAACTGTTACCAAAACTTCTATGTTGTGACACACTCTGACTGGATGGAAATTTATCCAGTAGATAGCAGGTTGCTTTTTAACTGGAATTATGCTTCTCAAGGGGCCTGTTTCTCAAAAAGCCAGGAAACTTTCAAGACCTGGAGGCAAATTTTAAAATCAAAACCTGTTGATTAGCAGCACAGAATCTTCATTGTATCATTTTCCAAATTACCTGTATTGAAACTTTGCTCTTGAATACAAACACGGCCAACAGAAAATAGCTTTCCAGGTTTGAAAAGTTACTGGGCCTTTTGAGTAATGGGCTTCAGATCTCAATATCACTATAGATTTTATTTCTAAAAAAGCAACAAGCTAAATCAAAAAAGTTTATTTGAAAAGAGGCAATTACCAACAGAGTTTGCGAATACTGGGCATGCAACAAATGATGCTCCAAAAATAATCTCCTTTTAGCCATGGTCTATATAAACAGCTTGCTTATGTTAGGTCTAGGGTATAGTAAGGCAGGGGTTTCAAAACAAGCTGGCAACTGCCAGAGTTCCACCAGCTACTTGATCGTATGTTGCCGGCTACTCTTGTCATAACAATCAACTCATGACAAACAATCTTGATTGTCACAGCTGCCTACTTTTCGAGAGTCGGCTACCTTTTTCAAAACATTTTGAAACCCCTGGTAAGGGGTGCTTCACAAAACATAACTCCTACCAAATTTTCTTGAACAACTTACATTTTTCCTGAATTATAATACACAATACTCTGTTAAAAATTTGAATGATCTGACAGCTTCAATGAGTCAAAGGAAAAGGAACTCACATTCCAGATCTAAAACTACTTTTTTCTCCAAAAATATTTCACAAAAAAACTATTTAAACTTTGTGCTTTAATTAATGTAAGCTTATAACCCCTTGAACTGGGGAGAAGTGACTGTCGATGAAATTTATTCATCTTTTGAAGTAAACGAAAATTAATTAAGATTTAAGACGGAATCAATCTGGGAATTGAATAATATTTATTTTAAGTGGACAAAAACCTTCTACCAGAATAATTCTAAGCATAGTGCATGCTTTTTTACATTGCTCAAGGACTAAAGATGTAATTAGTCATCTGTAATAACACAAAAGAATATTGCTTAAGGGAGCCCGAGAAAGTGAATGTCAAAATTCACAAAATTACATCTTGCACATGAAATTTTCAGAATTTTACCTGTGTTTTCACAATTCGTGTGAAATTTCACATTCATTTAACTGATTCCATCTTTAGCCCTTGAAAAATGTTTAAAAAAAGCCAATGTTACAAGATTTTTGTCCACTGAAAATTAAAAAGACTCAATTTCCTGTTGGATTCCGTCTTAAGTTCTGTTACAAAATAGCTTTGAAGTTTCGATAAAAGGCGCAAACCTGTGTGAAACTAACGATTTCACTTGTTGAGTGCCTGCATCAGTTTGAGGAAAAACTCCTGATCTTCTTTTCGTCGTTTCTCATCCCTTTCTTCCTCTCTTTTTTCTCGTTCTTCCTCTGCCTGCCAAAAACGCCTGTCAGCTTCTTGTTGGTAATTCATGAAGGCTTCTAAAGCCTTGTCGATTTTGTTAAAACCATCGGCAGCTGAAAGTCTCCTCTTCTTTCCTGTGAAAACTTTCTTCTTCTCTTCAGCATGTTCAGTTTTCTTCGCTGTTTCTGAAAATACAGTGTACTTCATGTAAGGGGCTCTCGGAAACCTCCATTTTCATTGGCCTTCGAAAACAAACCATTCATTGTTTTATCATTCAGGTATTGTTTCGTTGCCCAATAGAATATCCTGTTTTGAGATTTTCATGGCGTCCTTGGGGAAAGGTTTTGTTGACGCCTGTGGCATTTTAACTTCCGCTTGCGAAAAAAGAAACACTTACAGTTTGTACGAGAGAAACAGCTACAAATTGCCTGCCAATACATGTTCCTGACATACTTCAGAAGAACTACTACTACCACTGTTGTTGTCGCTGCTGCTGCTGCTGCCCTTCGGGATGATCTCAATATTTTCACTTTCGTCCTCACACGATGATGCCGTAACAATTGTTGTCGAATTGATGACAACTTTTGGTTGTGTACTCGGCTTATCGGATAGTATTTTATCCAGCTCATCGAAGAATGGTGGTTGTTTGCTTGGGGTGGCGTTTCCCGTCTTCTTAAGTTCGTCTTTGTATTGGCGGTATGCCGTTACAAGAGTGTGGAGGCGGGTTTTGCAGGCTTCTCCGTCGCGGTCTTCATATCCACAGGCCATTAAAAAGTCGCCAATTTCTTGCCATATTGGCTTTTTCCTTGTACAGGACTTCAGTCTTAGCTGGACGTTTTCGTCTCCCCATTTTTCGAGCAAAAGTCTAGTCTCCCTGTCCTCCCACGTTCTTCCGCGAACTTTTTTTGCAGCCGCCATTTTGAAGTAGTTTAGTTTCGCGCGAAAGTTAAACTACCTCCTACAGGTTGTTTAGTTAAACATGTTTAGATTGCGTCAGCGCGCGATGTGAACTGTTTTTATTTTAAACTGAGTTTAACTAAACATTATTTAAACATGTTTAAGCGTTGGTGTGAACGGGGTACACGACACTTTAAACAATTTCACTACTAAGCCTCTTCAAAAGAGTGTTTTTACATAGGTCGTATAATGAATTTAAAGAACTTGATACTTTAATAATTTAAGGAAGCACACAGGCATGTGGAGGAACTACTCAGATATAGGAAGAAAAATTAATTTTCTCAGAAACAAGGTTAATTGATCTTTTTAGAGGGAGATGTCAGTAGCCAGGATGTTCTAGTGAACGCACCATGAAGTCGAAAAGTGTTGGCTGTATCATGGAGCTGTGGTGGAACTGTCAGAATGGCCACAAGGGCAAATGGCATTCATCAGAGGAATATGGTGGTTAATGCACTCTAACAACCTACAATTCTCTGCAGCAGTATTGTTGTCTGCAGGAATAACTTTGCAAAGATAGAACTGATGAGCAGTTTCTTTGGTCTTTCATGTCCATCCAGGGCTCCTTCTTGCAAGTCCAAAAGTTATGTGTTCTAGTAATTTATGAATTGTGGGAGTCGATCAGAACAAACGTAATTTCACTGATTGGAACTCTGGAGTTAGTAGTCAGTGGTCATGGGCAGAGTTACTCTCCAGGACACTCAAAAAAGTATCTAACTTACTCCAACTCGTGTTGGAGACGGCAGCAGGATAAAAGCAAAGTTTACTATAGTAAATTGACCTGAGTCGCGTTCGTCCAGTTTATCTAAACTTTGTTTTGTTAGCTGACAACTTGTCAGATTTCTTGATATGCAACTCTTCGATTGTGCCACCTCTATGTACGTGCTTTCTGCCAGGACCTCGGATTTGTAGAAAACAGACACATCAGACAACTATTCATTTACCTCAACGTAAGTTTTATTTCACCTTCTTTAATTGATACTATAATTTATTATACCATGTGGCACAGAATTTTTGCGGGTTCCAATTTTTGCGGTTTTTTAAGCGATCCACACAAATAAGTTCCCGCAATTAAAAATTACCGCACATATTTTTCCCGCAAAAATTACCTCTAGAGTAAACATTCTCCAACTTAAATTCACTGCACAAAAATACAGTACTATCAAATCGTGTCTGTTCAATCACAACTTGTCTTTTTCATTCAGAAACAACGAAACAATGGTTTTTGTTTTTCAATGTTGGCAAAAATGGATCTGAATACAAGGTGAGCCACAACAAAGTTCACTGTACTTCCCTGCTGACCCATTTTAAGGAAACTTTCTGGTCTTATGGTTTTGCTATTCCATACGCTATATTCCCCAGGTTTTTGTGCCACATTTAAACACAAAGAGAAGCACTTCTCTAGCCGTAGTCGAGCACTAGTTTTAAAAAATTTCTCCTGATTTTGCTATTAATTATGTAAGCTTAATTGTTTCTTTGGAGATTCAGGACCTTGATACTAGTCTTAAATCAGAAATGATAAAGGAAGTCAGACACTTGGTGAACTTGTCAGTAATGATACGCACTATCAGGTTGACTCTAACCCTAGTATCCGCTGCGTGTAACGTTTCGAAGGAAACCTACTAAGCCTGTTGTAGTACCAACAACAAACACGCCATTTGAGCTCATTGACATCAGAGGTAGAATTAGGAAATACATGGGTTGTTTTGGGGAACTCAAGGAAGAGCCTGGTGGGCTCAAGGATGACTTAGATGAGCAACTTTGCATAAGGCACAAAACGAATGATTTTATTTGGATAGAGCAGGTCCAAACATGGAAAGCAAATTGCAATAATAAGCAATATCATGTTTCGTTGAACTGTTTGAACACTAGAAATCCGCATTTCGACCCTATGGCAGTAGTTAACAAACTTAACCACATTCTAAGTGTGCACAAAATTCGTTTTCTGAAAGAAAGGCTGGGACGTTAATGATTTCTCTAAGTGACTTCTGATATGACTATCACAATCTATGATTATGCATCTTTCATTCCGTAGCCATGCTCTTGAGGTTTGCTGAATGAAATTCATTTCCTGGCGTCAGTTTCTCAAACGTTTCTGTAGCTTTAAAGGTCAAAAGCAAAACATTACAGTCAAAAGCTTAAGATTAGAAGCTTTAGTTTTACCACATTATATTCAAAACTATTGAAACCTTTATTTTGAATATTAGCAGAACAAACAAAAAGCTTTCTGGTCCGGTAATTACTGGAACTTTTGAGAAACAGGCCTCTGGTTTGGACGATTTTATGTCTCCACGAAAGAACTTTCTTTGAATCTACTATTACATATTTGCGGTACAGTCACCTCCTGAAAACCAACAAGAAACAAAACAGACAAAACAGGACAACAAAGTACATGCAAGAAGGAAAAGGGTATGTTCATTTGAACTTTTTAAATTTTGTCAGCCACTGTATGTGTAAAAAGCATCAACCAATAATAAATCTGTACAGTAACAGTTAACAGCAGTTTTGACTTTGAAATGTCCAAGTAGATCACCCACAAGCTCCTTAACTGCATCTCTTTTAGACAAAAGAATATTTAACTGCAGGCTAAACTGTAATGGTGGCTGGCTATCAGTTGGTGTTTTAGTTGCAGCAAAATGTTTTACCCACAAGGAAAAGATTATTAAATTCATTTAAATCATTTTTTCTTCAGTTATTACTGGAATGAAGACTTCTGCATAAAAACGAATCCTGATTTTAATGCAATTTTGAAATCTCCTTCAGTTTTTCAGTGCACGAGTTAAAGTGGTGAGGGGGCAAGAAAAGCAGTTAATGCAAGAACTTAATTACGACTTTGTAAGTGATGAGGAAGATGGGCCAGAGGGAAATTGGATTATTAGGTCAACAAGATGGAGGTCCCCAAGTGCCGATGAATTAATGAGCAGACTCCAAAGAAGAATCGATCAGTCAAAAGAAGAGGGAGTGTGACCACGTGTATAAACAAAAGCTGAGTTGCTAAGCAATGACAAGTATTCACTACTAGAGCTTTCTTGGATGGTTTTAAGAAATTTTGTTCCTTTTAACGTTGATGAAAGAGACAATAGGGCCATTTATACGAGAAAAAATAAGACGCGTCTTAAATAAGACGCGAACTGTACCATTTATACGAGCATGTCTTATCTAACAAGATGCGTCTTAGCTAAGCCGCGTCTTATTTTAGACGAAATGTGCCGTTTATAAATGGCCCTAATGTCATCTCTTTTTACAATTATCTAGGAGGAGACTGGTAATCAATGGCAAATGAAAAAACCAGGACAAAATTTGAAATGACATTTTTTGCAATTAGTGAAAAGAGTTTTTTGCAATGATAACAATTTCAGTGTTTTTTTTCCTTAACAAAAAAAAATCAATAAAATGCAATAAAGGTTCCTGGACACGGATAAAAATTCGCATTAAGCTCAAACCGTTAAGCTAATAGCATTCCTTAGTACAAAGTCAGCGTTTTCAATAATAGCGGGATATTCAACTTACAAGTATTGTAGATACCATATAACTTACTAAATTGTTAAGTTTTATTTAGTAAAGTTTCGTTGGCTGATAGTTGCAATGTCTTCCTTCAGTGAAGGAACTGCACAAGACAAAAAGTAGTCCACGAAGACATTTTCAGGGCTCCGTCACATGTTCCTTCCCAAAGGAGAATGTGGCTAAGCCCTAAGAACGTCTGCCATGGAGGGTAGACAAAAAAGATACTCCTGTACTCTGCATAGATAGATCTAAGTATAGACCCCATGTGAAGGTGACTGCTATAAGACGAAAGCATGTGAACGCCCCAAAAGAGTAAACATCCAACAATACATACAACACATTCATGTTCAGAATATGCCAACTGAATTTCAGGAATAATGAGATAAGCATTTCTACTCATATATTCTTGGACACGAAGAGTGTTTGTAGCTGTTCGAGCTTGAATATTGCAGAAGACCAACGTTAAGCAAAGTCATTGCTTGGTGCACATTTGCAAACGCAGCAAACACTTGACATGTGCGTTAGTATTTGCGTGTTCACATCTGGCAAACTGTTTGTCACTGTCGTGTTCATGTCGTATGCAGAGTCAAAAATTTGTGGTCATACCAAGATGTTCAAAATGACTAATGATCATCACTGTTCAAAGCCGGTCAAAATTGATCTTTTTATAAAGGGAGTCGCCCTATTCCATTTAGAACGCTTCATAGTATTCTGAAGTATTCTAGTTGAATTCTGAAAAATGGTCTGCATTTTAAGTAGAATATTCAAGGTGTAGGTCGCATCATGCGTGCTTGGATACCTTAGGATATTATCATACACTCCACATGTGCCTATCCGTATTCAAGCAATACTTGGTCATTTCAAAGTCGCGAATATGTGCCTTTTTGCACAGTGGGTGATGTCGAAGTTTCTAATTTATTGAAATAAAAGAAAAGATAGACTCTACAGATGGCCCTACCAGCATAGTCTGTACAGTTGGCCTTACCAGCTTAGTTTAGATACCTGTACAACAGGCTTGTTAGGAGAATCTCACGATTGGTTTTGTCCCACTGGTTTCGACTTGGCTTTTGCGAAAGGCAGTACCACCCAAAGCAAAGCTTTTCTTGCCTCACCACTCATCTGCCATTCGCTTCCCAAAAGAGAGCCTGCTGCCAATAGTTGTTATGCATGTTTGAGTTGTAAATGAATTCCCAGAAACACTAATTCCTCAAAGGTCGGTGTTGCTTGAAAACTTACGTGGTGGGGTACTCTGCACTCCATCCGTGTGCGTTGTTCTTTTTCAACACAGAGAGAGCCAGGTGCTGTAGTCGCAAAACTGGGACGTATATCTAAAGTGAGACGTAATTCCAGAAAGTCTGTAATGCTCTCTAACGGATGGAACACACCCTCCTGGGGGTGTAATCTGTTTAAATTCATACCTCTTAGGGGTTAAAATTCCTGGTCTGGTGTTGCCTAGACCTAAAATAACTGACATTGTAAGCTACCTTTCAGCAAAAAAATGTGTCCAGAGCTGGAAACATTTGTCTGGAACTACTTTTAGAAAACATTGCTACATGAGTGTAGGGTTAAAATTGCCGAAGAATTTTACAAAGGACCCCCCCACTAGACACTACCATTACCATTTGCTTTCAATGTTTTTAGTGGGGCTCCCACGCGCGCGAAGTGCGCGTGGGACAGAGCCCCATACTCATGGAATATGGTCAACCTCTTTTCGTTTGGTTGTCACGTGATTGACAGAGCGTACGTACGCGTCTACAGATTGTACGGGTGGGGTAGGGGAGACTATCAAAAGGAAGGGAGGGGTGTCTCAGGCGTGTCTTGGCAAGTCCACATCTTTAATATAGGATTTTAATATAGCACATCAACAATATGGTCAATTGACAGCTGTCAAAACAGGATAGCCACTGACCAGTATTCCATGACCATATCGCGGGCTCGTGTCAACTCATCGAGGTGACGTGATTTATTTGGAAGCTGTCTGCTGACCAGTTAATTGTTTTACTAGATCGCGGACAACGTTCAGTCTCATACTTTTACTAGTTTGGGAGCACAGGAAAACTGATAATGCACACATATTGGACATCAATGTTTGGATCAATTGACAGCTGTCAAAACAGGGTACCCACTAACCAGTATCACTTGACCTTATCGTGGGCTCAGGTGTTGACCCATCGAGGTCATGTATTTTTTTGAAGTTATCCGCTGACAAGTAAACTAGTTTTCAAGTGATCGCAGGCTCAAGTTCAATTTTTTTCTAAATTCATATGAAATATGTGTTTATGTGCTGCACAATTAAAATTTTGATTGCAAACTGATCTCGGACGCGAAAATTCAGCCAGCTGTTACAGGCAGGGAAGACAGTTGGAAATCCGATTTCGGATGGCATCGTTTTCATTTTCACCTTGCTTGATTCGTAAGAGGATTGCAAAGTCTGAAGCGATACTGGCTGTACTTGATACCTTTCAGGAGCTGCATCTTGAATGGTAAGCCAGATAAATTATTGTATTTGATGTTTGTTTTTTGTATCTAATTTAATAAGTCGAGCGTAGTTTATGCGGGTATTTAGTTAATGCACATTTGTAAGATTTGAGACAACGATCTGACCGAGTATCAGGTTTGATATAATCTTACAGCACTGTAAAAAGCCTTTAGACAGTTTCTCACCGCAAATAGAAAGAAAATGTTCCAAAGAATATTTAGTTATAATTCTGGCTGTAGAAGAAAGCTTTGAGCGATTTTCTTGCCTCGAGTTCGTCTTTGCAAAAAGCAAACACCGGGAAGCCGGCTTAAAACATAAACTTAAGCTTGAAGCTTGAAGACTCAGGATATTTAGGGACACTTTAATACTTGTCTTCCTGAATGAAAATTGTTGTCACCGTATATTTTTCACCGAATTATATTTCTTTTATTGATTGTTAGCAGTCTCTCTTGTAATCTCAATCGGTGTGCCGATTGTTTTCAGTCGTTCAGTGAACATCGCTTGCAGGAGTACTCAAAATGCCGCGCGTTAAACAATTAAATAAACAATAAACATAATAAATTCTTTATTATCTTGGAGCGTAACTCTGTTAATGTTCATTCAAACACTCTCCACAGCTCGCACTACAAAAGTGAGAACCGGATGGCCGTATAGGTGATTTTTATAACAGTTTATGAATATTGAATGAGTGCAATTTGTATTGTGAAATACTGCTTTCTGTCCATGATATAAAAGGTTGGTTTACACGCACGCAGATTTGTTGGCAAGATTTTGCAAAGTAAACTTGTCAAACGCAAAAAAGTTGGCCTGATTTTTTTTTCTGGGCCTAATTAATCTACGGTGATCAATAGCCATTATGGCTCTTAAATGTGATCGAAGATGATTACCAGTTTTTGGGTGTACATATGAGACTATCAACTCGATGTAAGATTTAGTTCACTCTTGGGCTGTTTGCAAATTATTTTCCTCTAAAATCAGGTAGCCTTTCCCTCAAAAGTCACATAAATGTGCTCTAAAGTTAACTGAATTGTGGAATTCGAATACAAATTTATTGTTTAATTTAAATTATAAATTTACTAATAGGAACCTCGCTTTTAGCCCTGGCTAAATCTATTTAGTATATGCTAAAACAGTGGATAGTGTTTTTCGCGCGCTCTGATTGGCTGCTCAGTCTCGGAATATTCTGCACTATTCACTGATTCGCCTCCAGCCGAGCGGCGCCAAACTCTTGCAAGTTACATGTACGACAAAAATGGCTCAGTCTCGGTTTGCCACAGTAACTAGCGACGAAATTTCGAAAATAAATGAATAGGCCATACCAGACAACACTAAAAAGCGACTAAATTCGGTCTAGCAGTTTTCACAGGTAAAGCTTTGTCTGTTTAACCTGAATTTTATCGATGAAACCAGTGAAAAAGTTTTTGTTTACAAATGCAAATTATGTCTTTCGTTACTTAATGTTAGCTGACATGTTTATAAATAAGCTTACTTTTTTTTTTTAGAATGGTTTCAGATGCAAGAAGAGTTCAAAACTCCCTTTGAGGAGATGTCACCAATTCAGCTTAACAAATGCCTCCATAAATTTTACTTGTCCGCATCGAAAAACGTGACGGCAGTTACTACAACAAAAAGTCGCTTATCGCAATCCGAGCCGCGTTAGATCGTCACTTAAAAAGTCCTCCGTTTTCAAAGCCATTTTCCATTGTTGGCGACAGTCATTTTAATGAAGCCAATAAATTCCTCAGCAATTTTCTGAAAACTCTGAGCAAAAGTGGCCAAATAGCTCCGACAGTGCACAAACAAGCCCTAACAAAGGAAATTGTTGAGAAACTTTACGAAGAAGGCGAGCTTGTTGACATCGATTCTCTACAACCACACAAAGTACAGCAGACGGCCTGGTTCTTGATCAGTTTATTCCTAGGAAAGAGAGGTCGAGAAAACCAGCACCTGCTTAAGAAACACATGCTTATCTCAAGAGAAGCGCCAAATGGTGAAAAATATCTGGAAATAAACAAAGAGCGTGGAGCAGTGTTGGCGACTAAAAACCATCAAGGTGGCCTAGATGATAAAGAAGATGAGTCAAACGGAAAAATATTTGAAAGACCAGGCTCAAAACGCTGCCCAGTGAAACTCATCGAGAAATACCTGTCACATCTGAGTCCCAAATGCAGCAGTTTATTCCAGAAACCAAGAAGCTCGTACAAAGTGTTTAACCCAGCAACGGATCTTGTGTGGTACTGCTCGAGTCCACTTGGCCACAACACGCTTGAAAATATGCTACGAAGAATGACATCAAGAGCTGGAATAAAGCCACACCTAACAAACCACTTGATCAGAGCGACCACCGTGACGGTTTTGTCAGCTGCAAACATCGAGAGTCGGTACATCAGGGCAATAACCGACCACCAAAGTGAAGAAAGCATCAAGAGCTATTGTGATACGCCGACATTCGAGCAGTTTAAAAGAATGTCAAACGAGCTAAGTGAATTCTTCGATCCAGCTGGTGGCGATGACAAGGCTGTTACAGTCCCTCAGAAAACCGTTGCATCGTCATCGAGCCAGCCGCAATCAGTAGCTATAAGCACTGCAAATTATTCCTTCCAGTCCATTCAAGATGGATCACAGAATCTTGTCCATGGCTTCATTCCCGGAGCCACGTTCCATAACTGTAATCTCAACTTTAACGTGAGCTTTGGGGGAAGCAGCAGCAAATAAAACTTGTAACAGACAACGAAAAGAACAATCTACAAAGATGGCGTAAAGCCAGGACTTTTCCTTTTGCATAGCTTGATCTTTCATTTACGGTTGTAAAGTCTTAAAGACAAAATTATGAACGTTTCATCATCAGATGTGTCATGTGACTATTTTGAGCTGCGCGCATGTTTGTTTAATTTGCGTGCCAAAGTTGTAAATAAACGAATTAAAAATCGTCATTTGAGATCATTTTAGGCTTATTATCTCACTGTTTTAGCATATACTAAAACAATTATTCACCTCAGTGTCGGTGGCTAGTATTGGATACTTACCTCGCCGCTTTCGCGGCATCGGTAAATATCCACTTCGGTAAATATCCACTTCGGTAAATATCCACTTCAGTGAATAATTGTTATATATTATAATATCTTTACAAGAGGAGAGAGAAAGCAGGAGGAAAAACCCTATGGCAAGTAAAAAAGTATGTCCTGTTTATGTTTATTTGAATTAGAGCCCTTGTTGCTCTGGTTTTATTTTATTTGGGGCCCTTGTTGCTCCTGTTCATTTTGAATTAGAGCCCTTGGTTCTCTGGTTTTATTTTATTTGGGGCCCTTGTTGCTCCTGTTTATTTTGAATTAGAGCCCTTGTTGCTCTGGTTTTATTTTATTTGGGGCCCTTGTTGCTCCTGTTGATTTTGAATTAGAGCCCTTGTTGCTCTGGTTTTATTTTATTTGGGGCCCTTGTTGCTCCTGTTTATTTTGAATTGTGTGGTTCCAGAAAATATCCAGACCCCCACCACGGAGGGAATTGGAAATTCCAGGGGTGGGGGGGTCAAAGGCCCAGGAAATTCCAGAAGGGAGGGGGGTTGGACCATAAAATCACTTTCCAGGGGGCAATATCATTTTGTTTTCGACCTGAGATCGAACATTGCTTCTTACCATTTCCAGCTTTGAGGACAAATTTTCGTATCACACTGAATAATTGTTATATTTTTAATATCTTTACAAGATAAAAAAAGTACAAAAGAGGAAATCAAGAAACTGGAGCAGGCTTCAAACCCTAAGGAGATTTTCCACCATCTTATCGAAGAAAAGGGTGGTCAGTGGAGAAGCTAACTTCTCCTGGCAAATATCCCAGAAGCTGAAGCCACCGGACCTATTTGCTTTGATTAATGAAATAAATACCCCAGTAAAAATATTTTGTGATCACAGAGTGATCACAAATCACGCCCGTGATCACGGGTGTGATCACTCCTTTTAGCGTGATCACAAAAAAGGAGGGCGTGATAAATGCGTGATTAGAGTGATCACACCTGTGATCACTCCTCTTTCATCAGTGAAGGTGTGATCACGTATCACGGTCTTAATTGATCGGACTGCTTATCACTCTAAGAGAGACTGAAAGTAAATGTTTCAGCAATTTATATGCCGCGGTTAATCGCATAGACCTGTTTACAAGTTCATGCACCATTTATTGACAGAATGGATAGAATGGATAAAGCTGTTAAACTAAAACCCCAAATTTTGAATTTTGACTTCTCTTATGTATGAATTTATCACCTGGAGCCCATTATGTGCTGAATTTAAGACAAATTGCAGCGAACAGGCTGACTGTGATGGGATGCCCAAGAAACCGCCTGAGTAACGGAGATATAACCAATGAAATCAAAAAACGAACTTTGGTTTGGGCAAAATTAAATAACAAAGTTTTAGTTCAAAGAGGAACAGAGTCGAAGTTTCACTTCTTTACGATAACCAAAGAGTGGAGCTAACTTCACATTTCAGTGTAAAAATAATTTGCAAACTTTATTTAAAAAAACAGCACTACGTAGCAGCAAATCTTAGCACTCATCTGGCAAATAAAAACAGTAACGACTTACCAGAAAATCAATATTTGCACAGTTTTAGTTATGTTCATTTACATTGGGAAAGTCATCAACGCATTGTTGGGAAGAATATCAATAAAGACACATTTACGTCTTATCTGCTGAACAGATATCACAAATGCCCTTCCGGACCTTGGTTTGAGGTGCACGTGATGTTTCAAAAGGCATCTATTGCGATACTTTCTCAAAATGTCACGTACGATATCTTTGTTCTGCTTATCATCAGTTAAAGACTGTAGGGTTTCAGTGCAGTTACGTTCATTAAAAAATAGTAATGGTTCAGAGTTTTCTTCCAGTTCATTGACAACACAAAGTCCAAAATCGTGTATCTTTAAAAAGTGTGTGACTCTGCCATAACAAAGCGTATTGTTTCTGTCAAAATATTCAATTACAGTTGAGCCGGTTTTGCATGTTTTCATGCCCAAAGAAAAAAACTTTTGTCCGTCATCACTCTCAAATCTGCAATATGGTTCAAGTTCATAATATGCGGGTAACTTGTTTGCCATTACAAAGATCCGTACCAAGGTCAGGATGTTGTTGTCAATCAACTTTCTTCTTTCTTTTCCACTTAAGTAACCCCCATGTACTTTAGCTACTAACTATGCTTTAGCAGACACTTTGTTAGAACTCTTAGAATAACCAGTAAGACTTTGCAACAACATTTTGCTGTCCCTAGGAATGTCATTGTGCTGTAGAATCTTTTTCGTAAAATTAGAAAGGCTGAAGCAAAGACCAATTGCACATCCAATTTGCTCCATAGCTTGATGCGTTCCATGAACTAGTGGTTTGATAAAAGCATTCATGCTTTCAATGACAAAGCAACTGTATGCCCATAGAGGTCCTCGACGTGAAACATAATAAGCTAAATGTTGCAATAAATGGACATTCATGGTGCATCTTGTTGGCCCATAGAGTATTCCCATTAAACGAACAAAGTCTTATAGCGTGCCGTCTGTCTCTTTAAGATCTGTGTTCGATATTGAATCAGAACACAAGATTCCAGTTGCTCCGACAAGAAGAGACCAGTGAAAAATGTACAGAGGATTTAAGATTTTGTACAACACTGGCACAGAATAATGCAGTAGCCAGTTTTTAAGTTCTGTGGCTTTCCAGTGTTTAAGATCTTCTAATGATCTGGACAATCTCCCAACAATGTCTGGCGGCTTTATCGAAAGAAGCTTATGGGACATAGACAGAGTCTTTGCCCCTACTAAAAAGACTTTGTCCTTGTTTCCATCAGACGTTTGTAGATGCATAATGTACTTTACGACTCCAAGACAAATGGAGTGCATCCAATCAATTGCAAATGAACGCACCAAATCAAACGGATACGAAAGCTTTGCGAAAATGCTATGCCCCTTGACTCCCATCACTGCTTGCTTAATTGTGGCCTTTGATGCAAATTTTAACTGATCTTCATGAGTCCTTTTTATGGGGCTTTGTTCAAATGGCCAGTATCTATGGATGTTGTTTGGTCCGTAGCCAACTCCTTCTGACTTGCAAAGATGGCAAGCGCATTTTCCATTAAAACGTTTCATATTCATCAAGTCAGCTCGTGCAGGTAAGTCGGCTGTTGCTAGAAATAACATACATCGGACATTGATATCTCCATCTGCACTGTCCGATACATGTATTCCAGTCGAATTAAAAACATTCAGCTTTTCAATCAAAGGGTTGAGAAATGTCAACATGTTTGGATCGTGTTTGTCGCAATAGATGTAGGCAGGAATAATGAACTTTCTTTTGAATCGGTATTCTTTAGGGAGTTCGTTGATCATGATATAAACCGGCCACAAATGACCTGCCCTAGAAGACGAATATTTGTTTACTCCATCAGTGTTAACTGTAAACGAAACATTATACAATTGTGAGAGAAAGCCCCCAGGATGTATGAAATTCTTGTAGTCAAGTCCATGGTATATGTCGTAAATTCTACTACAGCTAGCTGCACGCTTTACCTGCCCTTTTCCTTTCTTTAATAAGTTCATAAATTCAGAATCTCTAAAAAGGTCTTTGATCTTTTCTTCTAAATGCAAATCTAGAAAACTCAACATTCCTGCCTTGGAGCATTTGGTATTTGGGCACTTGTCTTCAACAGCCTGTAAACAGTTAGTGCAGTAATTTATCTTTGTTGGTTCCTTGGAGCCAAAGTATTCTTTCATGATCAGTTTCATTTTGTACACTGACTGAAATGTTTGTCCACATTGGTCTCCAAGAAAGGTGGTTAGCAGGCGAAGGAGATCTGCCCAGGCTGCTGCACTTAAATTGTGCTTTAAAACAAAGCTTACAACTAGCACACATGATAAAATTTTTGATATTGCGCTACCTTGATAAAGTGGCATTTCCTCGTCACGAAGCGCAGTTTTGTTCAAATTTTCTGGTTCACGGCCCATCCCTTCCATCTCCTCCTGTTCACTTTGCGAAAAACGATCTTCACTAGCTGAAGATGATGTTTCACTTTCCTCCTCTGATGAAGAAGTGGTATTGAGGGCAGCTTCATCTTCGAAGTTATCAGAAGAAATCACATTTTGGACATCCTGAATTTCCTCAGTCATGCCGATATTCATTTCTTCATTTATGTCTGTATCACTCATTATTTCCAGTGAAACTGGTAGAGTGCTGCAGGCGGCTTCGACATCTTTATGATATTTCTTTAGTAGCCTACTGGGATTTTTTTGATATCTGAAAGGTGTATATTTCCTTTTCATCTTGCCCTCATTCTTTCTCTGATAATACCGAAGCTGTCTAGACTTTTGTTTCGGTTCTTTGACTTTGCTTTCCCCATGTCCTGGGTTTTCATTTTCGTCATCAGAACTTGAATATGTTTTCTCACTGCTTGAAGAACTGTCGAGGTTGTCCATACTTTGAAGCAAAATATTACTGCAATACCAGATGAAATCCTTTACATCAGGCATTCGGTCGGTGCCGCAAAAGATTAAAAACGTATCTATCATCTTGGAAGGAATGGGATTCTTGAGTATCGGATGGTAAGTGACACAAAGAAAAAACTTATTTTTAATGGTTGAGACATATCCAATCTGCGTTGACTTAAAGGTAATGTGATTTCGATGTGTTTATTAAAACTGTACTCAGCGTGTTAAAAAAAGCTGATCGAAACAAGTCTACGTTAACGAATTTGCGTGCTGTTTTATACTTATCTGTCATCAAAGTCGTTTCAACCGGAAAAAAAATTAATACGAGGAATGTTTTGATTCATGATGACTCACGCAAATAAAAAGAAATCACATCCACTATCTGAGCTTGTAGCTTTTCCCTTTAAGGGACAAAATATTTTTACTTATTCTCAGTTTGACCTCAAAAAAGGTTTAATGTACAGCGCTGATGTTTCAGTATGTGACTAGACCATAGAGAGGATCGTGACATTCACCGACTTGTAACCAATCCCTGCTCTTTCAACATCATTTTTCCCATTCTTCAGTGACAGGTCAATTGAATTCAAAGCGGGACATTTGAAATCTTCTCAAGGTCAGTTGGCGAGCTCTTGGTGTTCACCTAAATCTTTCAGTGGTATTGGTGAGTCTTTTGATTAGGCGGTTGTAGAATCATGGCAGTTTTTTACGCAGTAGAAAGTCGTGAGGGCCTCACATTGTGCCAGAAAGCAAGGTTAAGGAAGAAAATGGCTCCACCCGGGTTCTATGGAAAGTTGTGGATGAAAATGGGGAGCTTACTGAGAACTATTTTACGGCAAAAAACCTTAAAAAAGGGCACAAAGAAAGAGTGTAGCGAATTTATTGACCGCCCTAAGAAATCGTATGAAAAGGCCGAGATCAGCAATAAATCGGAACGGAGACGAAAGAAACCTCAGAAATTTGATGACTATGACTTTGAAGATCTTACAGAGCAGCCAACAGCGAAAAAACCACGGCCTGAATTTTGCGAATTTTCATTGAAAAATGTTCACGCAGAAGATCTTCAAATGACTGAGTCCGATTCAGAGCCATTTGACCAAGAAGCTGAAGAAAAAGCCGTTCTTACCAATTGGCAAAAGAAGGCACTTTCCTCGAAGGCGGCCAAGAAGCAAATCACCAACAGTATTTCCCGCCAAAACCGAGAAGGGTCAAGATCTGAGAAAACATAAGGCGAAGAAAGACAAGGAAAACGAAGACAAAGGCTTAAGTAACGCAGCCCAAAAGAAAGCGAGATCTGAAGTTGCAGAGAACCAGTCTGTTAACATTGGCAAGACGGTTTCCCTTGGCATGAAGCCTACATGGAAATGAAACGGACAAACCCGTTGAATTCAATCTTTCTGTGGAGCCGGAAACCACATTCAAGAACTTAAAAAACCTAACAGCAAAGACGACACGAATTCCATCTGACAATCAACTCCTGGTTATTAAAGGACAAGAATGGAAAATGGAAGAACATGGTCGAATATGTGATGACTGGTTAACCAATGACCTGGTGGCCATATTTGAAGTACTTGAGCCCTCAAAAGGTAAGTAACTGTATATTAAACAATAATAAAAACACGAACTGAAATGAATTTCGTTTCTGTTTCTTGTTTTGTTTTGCGTGACTGACCAAGCCGGCTGAGTCTGAAAGACACTTACTCTACCATTTGTATTCTTCATTGTCAGCAGCAAACATGTCAATACAAAAGCTGATAACTTGCCGTACGTAAATATTTCATGCCTACAGGTGGAATCAGGTCTATTCATTGGACGAACTTTGCAAAGTAAAACGCGATTTTATGTCATTTGCTAAAAATGCTATTGCAATTCTACGACATGATTAATTGAATTGTTTTGACTTGTTTTTTCAGAGTTCAGTAAGACCACCGTCCCTGTTACCCTGGATAGCGAATTTCCAGCTAAAGTGGAGGTTGATGTTAACAACGACTTTCAGCCAAGCGATCAGTCAAGCCTGGAAAAAGAGGGTAAGTTAAATTAACTTAACTCCTTGCCTAAAGTGTAAAAAATTATTTCCAGAAAATTTGATACCCGATATTAATTCCATATTTTAATCTAAAAAAGGCCTGTTTTACTTTTTTTCTCGTGACAAACTTGAATATAATGGCAGTTGGCACATCGATATTATTAGAGTTGTCAAGGAAATTCATGTGCGGGAAAATTAGCTTAAGTTATTTCGCTGCATTAACGTATGTGAAATTTCAGTTTTTGTACTTATTTTTGATTGTCATCATTCTACGCTTGTCAGAAATTCAGATTTTCCAAAATACATAGGCATATGATTGTCTTTCTTGAGCGTTCCCATGTGGCAGAAGTGAGTCTGTCGCACCTCACTTCAGTCTAAATGACATGACAATGCGAAAAAATGTACCATATTGTCACAAATACGTTGACAGAATACACTGACATTATCACACACGAGATTTTTATCCTTTCAAACAACAAATAATTGACAAAAGTTGTTCCCAAAAAATAATTACAAGGAGGCTGTGCTATAAACGTCGACTGCAAGATCACAACTAGTAACAGGGCTAGTAACTGTTTAATTTGAAGACATTTTCATCACAGGAAAACTATTAAGTTCAAGGAGCTGACACAAAGTGAACCGTGACAACTGATAGGATGTTTTGTTTTCTTAATTGATATCACCAAAATAATACTAAATGTCAGTCACTTTATAAAAGATCACGCTATCTCAACCAACTTTTTGTGCTAAAAATATCTGTGAGTGAGTGAGTTGCGAAAACTGTGACTTTAAGGTTTTGTGAATAAAGCTACATAAAGTGAATTGTCGTGGATTTCTATAAACACGGGTGCGATTCCCGACACTGTTCTTGAATTTTCCCGCAATAAACTCAAACCATGAATGACCATATTTTTCCCCCATTATTCGTTAGGTTTAGGAACTGGAAAATTTGACAATGACCTGGAAGAAAAAGTGGAAAAAATCCTCCACCAAGTGTCTGAGATGACAGCTAAGCTTCATAAGCTCACTGATGCTGTAAGGAAAATTGAGCAATGTAAAGCCTTTAAAAAAAGATACTACAAAGCAGTGGACAATGCAGACATCAGTTTTGAGGACCAGCTGTCAAATGTCGAATTAACACCAAGTCCCTCAGTCTCCATTTCACCAAAAGCTTCTACCTCAAACAGCCCAGTTTCACCTTTGACGACTTCACAACCACAAAAGAGCCTTAACCAATGGCAAAAGCCATCTAATGAGAGAGAGTCCACAATGCCAATTGGTTCCCCAAGCATTGGAGTGTACGTGGCAAAGAAAAACGTGGACCAAATCTCAAAGAGCAGCCCAAAACGATTCGCCCTTAAACTTTTCGAACTTGTCTTCAGCAGGGAGAAGCAAAGCTGGGCAGCGTTGAAGGCAAGGGTGATAAACTTCTCAAACTGGACCCAAACCGAATGGCAGCAGTGAGAGAATGTACAGAGAATGATGAGAAACAACAGGTGTTTTGTGTGGGCAGGGGTTAACACCAGCAAGGATTAAAAAAAAACCTGCACCACTGCTGAGGATAAGTTTAAAGAACCATTAAGAGGACTTACATCGTTTATAACATTACGAATGTGTTAACACATTATTTGATAAGAGCAGTAAATCCTAAATATTTTATCCATAGTTAAAGAACATTGGTTAGCCAGTAATCAAGGCGTTATAGCTGCCTGTGTAAAAAATTACGATTTAATGTTTACTTAAGCGTGCATAACATTTACATGGAGTAATTTTTGAAGCGTTATTAAAATTAAACCACTGTTTTAAGCCTGCTTTGTAATGAATGACGCCGCATGTAAGGGATGTGGCTTTTAACATTTGCACTTTGCAGGAACCAGTTTGTTTTGGTTTAAGCAATAACTAGGGGGCAATAAAACCCCGGAAATTTCGAAAAGTTGGGTGTCCAAATTTGTCCTAATAAGTAATTTGCTTTTCGTCCGTTACCGTGATTTCAAGGGGTGATGCAAATTCCTGACCATGATTACAGTATCATCACACTCATGATCACGCCTAAAAATTTGTCTGTCCGTGATCACACTATTTTCTGTGATCACGCTATTATCACAGTGTGATCACGCCTTGATTACGCGTAAAAACTTTTTACGCGTGATCACGGCAAGATCACACCTTGTGATGTGACCACGCCTATATTTTTACTGGGGTAGTTCTTTCTAGAACAGCGACAATATGTTGTCAAAAGTGGCGAGGGAGGACGACAATTTGCTGCCTAGGAAAAAGCCAAAATCTAGTGTTGGCTATGCAGCTGAATGGAAGCTCTGGAAAGGAAAAAAGTTAGGTGTGTTTTTTTCTTCTTGGCTATAATTATTTTATTTTTAAAACTCAGGGGCCTCCAACAACGATGTCTTCCCAAACGCATTTAAAACACTTTTACGGCTGTCCAGAATAATTAAGATTTCTAAAAATGCATTCTAAATGGCACTAATACATAAATAATATTTATAGTTTGTTCATACTAAATATAAAATTGTGTAATGTAAGTTAAGCAGCGAAGGCAATGAGAACTGTAAAATACGATACGTCTAATTGCAGCACGCTCTTTTGTAAATTTCCTTGCAGTTGTTTTGCAGGACTACATGAAACGTCCAGAAACTTCGTGGTTTCACGTTTTCACCAAATGAGCGAAAATCTTACTCTTGACCAAACTGAAGTTTTTCAGTTTGCCAAGAGTGGGCGCAACCTCCTTGTCATTAATCAAGCTGGAACAGGAAAATCAAGAGTGGTTAACGCAATTCGAGACGAGTGTCAACAGTGTGGTTTGCCAGTATCCGTAATTTGTTTGAGTGGAATTGCTTGTCAAGTGTATGATCCCGGCGTCACCTCGACACTCCATTCTTTTTGTGGTCTTGGTGCTGCAGATCTGACGGCCAACCTACTGATTACTCGCACATCAAGTGATTGTGGGATGTGAGAGAGTACACGATGTGGACGTTGTAATTTGGGACGAGTTGAGCATCTCCAGTGCAAGGATGCTTGAATTTGTTAATGCTTCGCATCACAATAGTGCTTTGTACTAATGACGTCATGAAATTTTAGACCCCCCTGGTGACTCAGAGAAACAAACTCCACTTCTTTGAGAGCTGCAAGGGAAATGGTGAGTAGTTTGCTTCATTCCCTTACAGTTCTGACCGAAGAGGATGGCGTTCCTGGCTCCAAATTTGAAAGACAACTAGAAGAATACACTGTAGACCAGCTAAAATAGTGGTTAAAATGCGGGGGTAAATGAGAAAATGTTGTACAGCGAGTGAGCGACTGTGTGAGGAGCCAGAATTATCACACCCTTGATCCGGCAATCGATCATGGAAAATGGTTTGCTGCTAAAAGTTCTTCAAGAAAATTCTGATGTAAAGACAAATTCTGGATCAATATCCATTCCGTGTATTCCGTCGACTGCCTGGCGTGTTTTTCCGTCTCAAAACATTCCTTTGCTCTTCAACTATGGGCACGTGCATTACTATGTGCTAGAATCCATCCAAAATGTTGCCGATCATCCTGAAGACATCAAAGACAGGCTGGGGCACATGACGGATAAACCTTTGAAAAATGGAAGAAAGTACGTGGATTCGGGCTTTGTTCACGATATGATGGACACAGTAAACAGTGATCACTATTTAGTGAGACCTCAGTTTGATTATCAATGAGAGCAGAGTTGCCGCACAATGTTGTTGTTGTTTTGTCTGTGAACAGTGGTGCTGTTCTTCATGCCTCTTGTGATCCTTGCCGGGCTTCATCTTTGGGTCATTGTAGTCATGTTGTAGCTGTTTTATTTTGTATCCTTGGCCATGTTCAGAAGCATGGGACAATGTTAAAAACACCTTGCACAAGTCAAGAATGTTCTTGGAATAAACGAAGAGAAACAAAAATCCCAGAACAGTAAGTGATGCGACATATCCAAGCAAGAGGTCAAAGCAAACTTTGTCCGTCTTTGAGTTTGATCCGAGGCCTGCCAGATATAGGGAGGTAAACGAACTGCATGTTAATAAATTTTTGAGTAAGATTCAAGCTTTGTCTCCAGCCAAAGATACAGGAGTTTCCATGTGGGAAACTCAGCTACAGTTTACTAACAGTGATTATGCACTTGATTGTGAGAGGAAAGAAGTGTTGTTAGAACACGTGAAACTGCTGTACAATAATTTAAGGCCGGAAGCCGTAATGGAAATGCCTGCAACACAGAAGCAGAGCAAATCTGAGAGATGGTTCTGTGAACACTGGTGCAGGCTGACAGCATCCAGGTGTCCCGGTGCTTTCAAAGTTAGGAAGCTTGTTAGTGAGTGCCAGCCAAATGCTGCCATTGAAGCAAATAAGTTTATCACCAACCAGATCTGAACATTTTCAGACATAATGGATGCATTATGGCCTTGAAAGTGAACCAAAAGCCATAATCACGTATGAAATTGCCACAAAGACGAGAGTATCCCCTATAGGATTTTGGGTCAACCCTTAGTTCCCATTTCTTGGTTGTTCTCCAGATGACATTGTTGGCAATGACACTGTTGTAGAGATCAAAGCATTGAAAATCTTTGAGCAGTACAGGGTAGACAGTTGCATGCAAAAACTCTTCAGTGGCTAAGAATGTTCTTGGTAGGCAATGCTTTAAAGAAGAGGATGGGAAGTGTGTCCTGAAGCACACTCATGCGTATTATTACGTGTGCCAGCACATCCCTCTTGTGACAGGAAGAAAGTACTGTGATTTTATTCTTCATGCAGTAAGTGGTCCTGATTCAGTAGAAAGGATTCCAAGAGATAAGCCTCTCATTAAGAAAATTTTCTGTTTTCTGACAGCATTGTGGATGCTCGTTATTGCCCCTGAAGTGTTTGAAATGCGTGTCCCTAGGAATCTCCTGCCATTTGTTTTAGATGAGTCAGCAGAGAGCTTGTATTCCTCCAAATGGTCTCCTTCGGAATCACCTGATTGTGGTGTTATACCTGGAGACCCTACCACATCTACTTCTTCTTTTGAGTCTGTAGAACAATTTGCAGCCCCTGAATGCACATCGCCCACTGCTACTATGGATCCTGTACCACCTGCAGCATGTTCACCTGCGTCACCTGTGTCATATCCTGACTTGTGCGGAACCATAGAATCTGAATTGGTTGAAGAGTCTATCCAACCGAGCTTATACTGCCAAGAAGAAATTGATGCTGCAGAAGCTCTCCTCTCGGCCACCAGTGTTGTTTCCAGTTGTAGTAAACGTGCTTCTGAACAAGGCCAGGAGGTGACTGTCTTTCCTTGGAATGGACTGACAAGCACTGGGATATCAATTACCAATACTTGTCCTTTGGATAATTGGCTGATGATTTTTCAGGCTCTGACCAAATCACACAAGGTGGAGCTCAGTAACCTTCCAGAGTCAGCTCACATAATAGGGACATTCCTTAGGCTCATAGATGATGGCCTATATGCAGATGCAAAGTTGCTTATCTTGCAGTCTCTTCCACAATGGCAGCAATTAAGAGGTATGCATACACTGTTTTTATTTTTCACTTTTAAAAATTATCATTTAATGTTACACAGACTTCTGGGTCAATTAAATTCAGGTTAAAATTTTAATTTTGTTCAATTCTCTATTTCCTTTCTCTTGTAGCCTTAATTATTCATGGGTTAGGGTTAGGAGACAAAACAATCTGAAGACAAAAAACTTACCTGGATCTTATTTTTACCTCTCACATGTAATACAATGCGTCATTGAGCACTTTTATAATAGAGCTAACTGCTTTTAATGATCATAATGTTGGCAAAGATTGGTAAGATGAAAAGAAAATATATATTAATATTAAAAATATTATAATAAATTCAATTTTTGTGTTATATTCTTTATTTTAAAGTTGTTGCTGGTACCCTGGACTTCTATGGCAATGAGAGCGACTATTTCTGGATACTCCTTCGTCCATACCTGACAAGCACCATAACAACAACCTGTTGCCTTAAAACTTGTCCGCTGCAAGTACACTTAGTGCTGTCTATGTCAGTCACCCTGTCACAGCCCTCCAAACTTACAAGCAGTATTTTTCTGGATACCCTTGAAGACTGCCAGCACCAACCTGATTCCCAGTGTGGAAGGAAATTTTCTAACAAGCCAGCAGAAGAAATCCCTTTCAATGAGGATGTGACTTTTGATGAACATGGACATGCAGACACCTCATGGCATTGCGCAGGGGTGAGGGTTAGCAGCCATCGTGTTATGTTGAAGTAATCTTAAATTGTCAAACACGCCACAAGCAATTTTTTTTGTTTGGGAAATGCTTTACACTGTATGGGGCAACACTGTGGAAATGGGGGTCACTACATTTACCTTCTATTATAATATCTGATACATGTATGATGGTTTGAATGCATAAATCTGACCATGATTGCTACTCGTATAATTTTGTATGTTATTTTGGAATTTGAAAAATGAAAAATCTTGGACAATTTTTTACTTTTCTTGGACCTATAAGCATGTTTACTTTTACTATTCTTTTTTTTGGGGTGGGTCCATTTTAATGAAAGACATAACAAATCATGCTTTAAAGGTCCATGTTCACCCATGTGGCTTTGTGCGCTTGTGTTGTTGTTTTGAAACACCTTTTTGTCAAATGCAGTGTTTTGATTGGCTGACACATTTATGGGGTGTTCACTTTTTTCATGTTTGGCCAAAGCGTGCCTCTACACATACTGAAGACAGCTATTTTCAACTACCCAAAATCATTTTCCTGGATTACAGGGTGCGCAATGCATTTAGGGTGAACATGGGCCTTTAAAAGGACACTTGTAGACATCATTATTCTTTGTTTGCTTAGTGTTCGAATCTTGGTTGATGAAAGTGACAAAAAATGTACAGTAGTAGGATAATCGTAACTTGGTTTATTCTCAGTTAACAGTTAATGTTTTCATGTGTATATCATTGTATTTCTATCCAGTAAAGGCATTTTAATTTTCTGATGGTTAGACTGAGAAATGTCCATCAGAAAATGTAAGCTGAAATTTTGATATTTTTATTTAAACAAACTTATGTAGTTTCAGTCATTGACGTGCAGCTTGTGCAGGTGTCAAATTCAAATCAAATTCTTGTTCCTGCTACATGTAAAAATGAAGTTTCTTTGAGTTTTAAAAATATTTTTAAAAATTAACATCCATATTTTGTGTACAGGTGTAGACATGTAAATAAGATTTATTCCTCAAAATGTTCTGTTTGTATAGAATATAAACATAGCTTGTTGCAAGCAATAGATAATAAATTATTATTCATATTATCATTAATAAGATTATATTGTATTATGATTTGTCTGTCGCTTTCGCTCTTTTGCAACCTCTCCAGAACTTTAGATAAGTTTTACAAGAGGTTCAACGAGGAGGGTATAGAGGTTGGTATGAAATAAGGGGCCCTTATCTTAGAGTATTGACCCTTACAAGAGGTCAATTTTCCTATCCTTGCATCAATTCACAAAAATGCAATACCAATAGGTTACCAGGTGTCAATCAAAATTTACCTTATATCTCAAATTAATGGCAAATCCTACAAGGAGCAATATAAAGACCCAGCAGATAAAGGGTGCCTTTCTTTGGGATGATCCGGATCAGGATCAGTGAGCTGAGATCACTTGAATCATGGTAGATCAAATGAGCCGATGGATCCACCTCAGACAAGGATTCATCAGTTCAATCTACCATGATACAAGTGATCTCGGATAACCGATCCTGATCCGTATCATCCCAAAGGAATGCACCCAAAATGCCAAAGACTATCATTTGTAGCCGATGGCCTGCCATATATCCATCAGTTAGAGCCTTGGAAACTTAAGTTAAAATATTAAGTCTACTTACAAAGGACAGCCTGAAAATTGACAAGGCATGCAGCAACTACTACCATTTGAGTTATGAGCGGAGCAAGAGACAAAGGTATTCTTCTGCTGACTAGTTTGAACTGCTTCAAGCATTCATTGAAATGCTCTAGATGAATCCTACCTTTTGCAATGCGACGTGTTTCCAATTGCTCTGCCGCACTAAGACTTTTTCTGCGTTTTAAAAATGATGGAATTTTTAATTGCACTTGGAGAGGATTTAAGAGATCCTGCACAGTGAAACCATGATCTGCCAAAACCAAGTCATATGGTTTCAGGTGTTTCAAAAGGCCACTTTCCTTAAAGACGCGAACATCATCAATATCACCCTCAAACAAATGAGAAACAAAACATGCTCCACCACTGGGGTTTACAGCAATGAGGCACTTAAATGTGTTGGTGTGCTTATAGGAAGAGAAAGTGTTTCCCTGCCTGGCAAAATTCCTGGAGCATTCCACTCAAAATTCAGTACAATCAACAATACAGCATATGTTCTTCATGATTTTGAATACCTTAGGGAGGAACCAGCTGCTAAATTGGGCTCTCTCTGGAAACATAGAGTTTTGCATGTCTTGAAAAATTACATACGTCAACTGAATATATGTCGCAAAAATCTTTCCAATATGGTACAAGTCAATTTTCCTGTTTGGGGTACTAAGTAAAACCCCTCTTCAGTCTCAGAAGGCAAATGAAAAGTTTTTCTCTAGATGAAAAATCAGCTTTTGGGCCAGTTCTTGCATTCTCCGTTGCTGGGCAATCTTTGCTTTTCCAGGAGTTCATTGTCTCTAAACGGCAAACATCGTCAAGAAAATCATGCAAAACTTCAAACTGGAAAGGCTTGAGGCCGGTGAAGTGTTTCATGAGTGCTATATCTTGCACGATATTTTCATAGGATAAAGTACTCACTATTTTAGGACCCTGTAACTGCATTGTAAAGACGTTGTTTTTCAAAATCATAGTTTCTACCTTTGCAGACAACTCGTATTTTGAATACATAGTCTGAGAGCCTTGATCAGACACCAGCTTTCCTGAAGGGTTAACGTAAATGTAAGTATCGATCTCGGCACATTGCTTATCAACACATTCTTCAGCAATAAAACTGCTTTCGTCGACTGTCGGTTCAACTTCTTGTGACTCCTGATCATGATCATCAGAAACTGTAATATCGTTAAATAATTGTTCCTCGTAGTTGTCATTAAATAATTTGTTTCTTTGACGCTGGATTTTCTCTTTCTTTCGGTGCTTTTCTCTTTGGAACATGTGCTCGACTTACTTGCGCTGGTCTTAGATTTGCCTTCAGTGGATTGGGAAATTCATCTGTTGGACCTTTTTTGCCGGGCCAGTGAAGAACACAAATATGAGTGTTTCTTACGTTTTTCTCCGTAAAAAATTCACGCGAACAAGCCACTTGCCAACGCTTCCACTTTGCCATGTCTCACGAAGGTTTTGGGAAAGGAATGAATACTTTCTTCCCCGATTCCTCTAATTTTCCGTCGTTTTGTTTCAATTTTACAGCTCTCACTCATACATTTCCTTTAAGCTGGTCGCAGTGTTTGTCCGAGTCTGTGCAGGGGGTCTCATAGGTTATCACGTAACAAAATCTATTTTTAGTAAAAGTAGAAAGCGCTTTTTAGCCGAGCAAGAAAATTATTGTTACCTTTGGAGGGAAACACCTCATTATCGTAAGAGAATTCCTGCAGCTCCGGTCAGTGCCGAGTACCTTCGATTCCAGGAATTTTAAGTTTAAATCTACAGTATTTTGGGTAGAAAACGAAGACCTAAGACCTAAGACTCAAAAACGAAGACCCCCTCAAAATCACTTATAAATGTCTACAAACGGGTATGTCGACCTTAGATGTGTAAGAAACAACAAGATCTTCAATTATACAGAATTTCGACCAGGGTCTTCGTTTTCTACACAATAACCCCCGATGTGTAGAAAACGAAACCCCCCCTCAAAATCACTTGGAAACGGCTGGAAACTGTTTTTAACTACTTCTAGACACTAAAGGAGTGTAAGAAACAACACAGCTCCTGACGATTTTCAATTATACAAAATTTCGACCAGGGTCTTCGCCTGCGTTTTCTTTGGAATCATCCTTTGCTGTACAGTGTTCGAAGTCATGTCTTCTGCAGTGCTCGCCATCAAAATGTCCCATTCTATGATGTTATTAAACATGTCACTCGCAGATCTTGAAGTTGTCATGGGTTTAATACCCAGCCTTGTTTCTATCAGCCCGTAACATTTTTAACTGAAAAATACGAGTCTTGAGGTCTGCTCGCATTTACGTCTTTATTACTGACGATAGAAACGTTTCCGAGATTTCATTACGGCCAGTTTGTACGTGAAACAGAAAACACATTTTGTGTGAATATTCTTCGTTCTTTGAGCTGAGTATTTTGTACGTGAAAGTATATTACAACTTCACTCAACAAACTTGTATTGAAATAACTTTGTACCGAACCAAACCGGTAACCCATGTAAGTATCTGTTGTCTTGCAAACCCTTATAGTGAAAATCACACACACTCCAGGCACTTTTTTCAGTGTCCTTCGGAAAAGCCCTGCACAGAAGAGAAACGGTTTCCCAAAAAAATTCTAGACTCTTCACAGCTCTTGAGCTCTAGTCTAAACATCACACAGGAGGGATGTGAGAAACTGCATCGAGTGCAAGCACAAGGGAGCATTGTCCAGGGAAAAGAAAGATGTTACATCTTCTCCTTATTGAATCCACTTACTAAAGACACTTTCTGTGGACTCCTAAGTGTCTGTACAAACGGGGTTTGATTGTACCACAAAAATTTGTATAACTGAAAATCGTCAGGAGCCGTGTTTTTATCTTACAATCCTTTAGTGTCTGGAGGTCGTTAAAAGCAGTTTCCAGCCATTTCCAAGTGATTTTGAGGGGGGTCTTCGTTTTCTACACACCAGGGGGATTATGTAGAAAACAAAGGCCCTGTTCAAAATTTTGTATAATTGAAGATCTTGTGGTTTCTTACACATCCAAGGTCGAGATACCCGTTCCTAGGTATTTATAAGTGATTTTCATCACGCAGAATGAGTGGAAATCATTTATTATTCATGACTGCAAAAGTGGCAAATTCAAAGGTACGAGCGCTTTGAATAAGCTCCAGATAAGAGAAAAATGGGCCTTTTTTGGCCCACCAGCGTTGGTTGAACTCATTGGCACGACTGAACGTGATCAATTTGAAACATGATCAATCAGAAATATATGTGGCCGAATGTTCAGACCTTTGCACTCTTGTGGACAGATGAGGGAACCACTATCCTTTGCCATTGTAATGCTTTTACGCATCCGTTGCCTCCACCTGGTTTGGCTTATGGCATACAAGACTTAAAGTTGTAGTCCTTCAACCTACAGTGGTTTCGAGATTTTGGTGCTTCGTGCTTCGGCCTTCATTTTCGAATGCTTCGTTTTTGAAACTACCCTGCACAAAAGTGTTCCAAGGTTTCTTACACACTCTGGAAGATGGATGAGCATGTGCACGTTATATGTCTTATGCCACCTACCATAAAGTGAAATGCCCGAACATTTTGGAGCTCTTGTCAACGTCACTGGGAGAAATTGAATCTGTCAAAAGCAAGAAAATCGCATCTACCAAAAGTTGAAATTCCAAGTCCAACTCTGAGCAGTCCACCAACTACAGCCAGCACAGAAACCGCATCAGGAGAGAACAGTGCAGGATGCCCTATAGCACCGTCCAGAAAGCAACCAGAGCCAGGACCACCAGCTACCTGTCCAGCCCCATTGGCTGAGTGCCAAAAGAGCAATGCAGTCACACACAGCGGACGCTCTATTCGTCCCCCTGGCTACTCACAGGACTTCAGGACTTCTAGGTTCAGACCTAGATCTTTTCTGTTTATTTTTTGTTTTATTTTTCTGCTAAGTTTATGCTGAACATTTATCGTATATTTCCTGAACATTTCAGGGAACATTTATGCGAACATTTTATTGTGACTGTTCATTGTTCCATTTTTTTCTTTAAAAAAAGGGAAAGGTGTAACGTTATTATGTCACATAATCGCTTGTCATGTGACTCAAGTTAGCCAATGCTGTTACTCTAACCGCGTGTTTAGAGATTGGCTTCGCTTACAGCTGATTTCATTGCTATGTATACACCCGGATTTTTAGACATGATTCGACGGTCATGATTCGACCTGTCATGATTCGACACTAATCACGTGACGTATCGCCTCGCAGTAAATGGTTGCAAAAATTCTGCCGTGGGATCCAAAACAGTGAGAGAAAAATCTGGCAGGCAAGGAAAGCTTAGCACTAACGGACACGAAGCTAGAATCCCGACAAAAGCGTTTTACCTGAAGAGGAAAGCTTTGTTGCCTGGAAAGCGGCGACATGATACAGAAATTATGATAACATGTCATCAAGCGATAAACCTGGAGTTTGACTGCTGAGTTCGAATGTATTTCTGTAGGCGATTTCATAATGGACGAAATATTATCAATACGGCGAAAAGCAAAATAGTCCGATGGTTTATCGTTTAGTCTTATTCCGTATGACAAGCTCTCGGTACGTATTTCACTGTTGGTGAATACCACCCGCAATTGAATTCACATGTAACAGTAATGCAAATTTAGTTATCATAAAGCCAAATTTGTATTTCTTCAAGTTGGTACTTTTTCGTCCTTACTCAGCTTCTGCATGGTTAAAAAATGACAGGAAAACGTGATGTTTTGCAGATGAAATCAACAGATAAATTGATCAGTCTGCCGTTGTGAAAGAATTTGCTTGAGAGTTTGAAAGTTTTGTTTTGTCGACCATTGAAAAATATCACAATGTGCGGTCCTCGACCTATGACCCCAGTGACCACAAATAAAGAAAACCATACATAAAAGAAAGCAACATTTGTTTTTATTGAAAAAGGGTAAATTATGATATTTCTTTAAAGATCAAGGTAGAATCCCAAAAAAAGTTGAGAAAAGAGCCGAAAAACGTATTGATCGAGACTTCCACACGCCCGATAACATGTATTGCGATTAGATTGCGTGACTTGTATGAGAGGCTTTTGTCTGGAAAGGAGAACAACTTATGGATCACAGTCCTCTTTTTCTGAATTACAAGAGAAACATTCAAGCTATCATTAAAGTAACTTTCAGATTGTGACTGTGTGCTTTGATTGCCGTTGGGATGTAGGATATTCAAGGTAAAATACTGTGCTGCTTGGTAACCTCTCGGTCGAATCATGACCGTCGAATCATGTCTAAAAATCAGGGTGTATACACTGCACTGAAATCAGCTGTAATTGTAAGTTGTTCGGAGCTGATGAGTCTTTGTTCTATGAAATTTCTAGATTCCAGCTACCTTGTGATAGTTTATTTAACCGGAATCGCAACACACGTAATTCCTTTTACACCTTTCACACTTCCTGAAGACGAGTTTTTGCAGTTTTGGAGGCTGTCAGCCCCATTTGCAAACTTTCGAGTTTGTCTGTGTGTTCTCCTTTAAAATAACATGGCTCTCTGACCTTTGCAATGTTCTTCTGCAACTTGTGGATCTTTCAGAAGAAATGGGTATGTTCGGGTGTGTCCTCTTTAACTTGTTTTAACTGTTTCCCCTGGATGGAGGCAGTATGGACAACCATAGGACCCATTCAACTGTACCATGTACTGGAATAAACATTTAGCAGGTGCATCAAATGTTCCACAAAGGATACAACGAACAGTTTTTATGGAATTAGGTTTACTGTTAACAGTTACTGGTACACCTGTCAATGGAATATAAGAGAGTACAGTATTAAAATCTCAGTTAGAACAGTATATATGTATACCATGACAATTATATGTTGCTTAATGTTCCCTTTAAGTATTTCTTTATGTGACACAGTTCCTTAAATTCTGATCAATGGCATCTGACTTCAAAGGATTGTTGTGAGAAAATGTTAACAACACGTGATAAAATAATGGTCTGACCAGACAAAACACTCTAAATAGGTAAATACACTGTAGGCTTTTGGGGAACAATATATTGTAACACAGAAAAAATTGTAAGTAGATTAACTAAACAACAAGATTTTAAAAGATATGAACATTATAAACATTGCAGGGATGGGAATAAGTAATACCGACAAGGTCCTACTCCTTTCACAAAAAAGGACAAAATAATAATAACTGTGAACAAACACCTACAAACTTGAACATTTAACTTAAAACAGATGAAGTTGGATTTCTAGGCAACAGCACTATTTTTGCACACCTCTCTCATCAAACCAAGATAGCATTAAAAAGGTTATTACCTTCCTTGAAGAGTTTGTGGAGAGACTTCACAAAAGGCTACAAAAACGTATTAAAGATGGGCGTATGGAAAAGCCGGAATCTGGAATCCGGAACCGGAGCCGGAAACGGAACCCGAACCTAAGAAATAAAACTTGGAGATGTTTCTGTCTTAGGAGTGTCACTAACAATTATTGCTCGATCAAGACTTTTCATCCCCACATTATATTTCTTTATTGTTATTATATTTTTTACTGTCGCATTGTGGCTCCATAGATATGATGTCGATTTCCACTACATGGAGGGAAGCAAGCTTTTCATCACGGAGCCTTTCTTGATGTCCCTGATACCCATGTGAGAGTGATGAAGGGCAATGCCTTAAAAGGAGAGTCAGATGAGAGAATTAATGAAGCAACTGCAGATGATGAAAGTATGCAGAAGCTCCTTAGTATCATCCTGGACAGTTGGCGTGACAACAAGAATGAAGTACCCAGTGAACTGAAACCATATTTTGACGTGAGAGACACTCTAAGCCATCAGCACATCTCGGTTACGACAACATGATGAGACGCACTCGCGATACTGTATTTTGGCCAGCAATGTCACTGAGATACCACAAGTGGCCGAAAACTGTGAAACCTACACAAACCACGGAATAAGAAAGAGACACTGAGATGTATGAAAAAAGGAAAACCCCGTGAAGCAAAAATTGGCGTCTATCTGTTTGATATAAAGGGCAGAAATTATCTAGTCACTGTTGACTACTACTCAAATTGTTTAAAAGTCGATTACCTGTCCACCACAATGACTAAGCAAGTCATTACCAAACTCAAAGGACACTTTGCGACATATGGGATACCCCTACAGATGGTAACTGACTCTGCCCCCCAGTTTCTCTCATGAGAGTTCAGGAAATTCTCGACGGAGTGGGTAGTACAACATGCAAAAACATCATCACCTGAGCATCACCAGTCAAATGGACAAATGGAGGCCGCAGTGAAGATAACCAAAACAATGATGTGTAAAGCACTACGAGATGGCACTGATCAATATGAAGCCCTACTGGAATTGAGAAACACGCTTCGCCAGGATACAGGCATAAGCCCTGCCGAAATGATGTTTGGCAAAAATACTCGATTACTGCTACCGCCTACAGGAACCAAGCACACCCCAAGTAAGAAATAAGTTATGATGAAAAGAGCCAAGTGCTGCCTTGCCATTAAGAGTAACTACAACAAAGGTGCCCAAAACCTGAAGCGACTCACCCCTAGTCAATCAGTCTACTACCAATACAAGGAGGGAAGGAGACCTGAATGGAGAAGAGGCCCCATGCAGACTGAGCACAGCGAGCGATCCTACATAATGGACGGGAAAGATGGTGTATACACGAGAAACAGAGTGCACCTGTGCCCTACAACACCTGAGACGTCACCAGAGAAATCCTCCCCACCTGCTTCTGCATTGAATTCACACATGGACACTGAGAAGTCGCAGGACGCCAACAGACTGAACAAGTCTCAAGCAGTCTGACAAGGCCACAGTGAATCAGGAAGGAACCTGACTGGTTTAAAGATCACGAGTTCAACTTTTAGTTTCTTGAACATTTGTGCATGTTGCAAAGAACTTATATTTAACTATCAAAGAGACAGACAAAGAACTGAACTTGTCCGTGTTATTCATCTTTGCTTTATTTTATTTTATTTTATTTTATTTGAGAGAGACAGATGTTGATATTATATTGCTATGAGCCCGCGAGTCGGTTGGAACCGTAAGGGCCTGGAAACCATATATGACATGTGTGTATGACCCACCATGTTTGTCTAGTTCTAGTTCTGACTAACCATACTTGTGAGACCTAGCTGAGTTGTGCTTTACTGCCTGAAGCAGCACTTGGAAACATTGATATCATAACTCTGTATTTGTTTTTCACCTTGCATGTGTGTATGTACCCATTTCAAATTGTGTAATTTTTATCCAGGTTTTGATTTTAAACTTTTCTACCCCGAAGAAGCCTTAAAGACGAAAAGTCTGTATGTTTGAAATAAAGCCAACACATGTGACCCAGTTTGTAGTAGACTTCTCTCTCATCCAAGCTATTAAATGTCTAGTTAGAACCATCCTGTATCCTATTGGATCCTTATTAGTGGCATCTTTCGTTGGTAAATTCAATATTTTCCCTCCTTCTTAAAGATGTATCATATATTGCTACGATAAAATTCAATCATACTGCAGTCATGTGTCTTCTAATTCATGCTATTCTTTGTTTGAAACCACGTGACCAAAAATCACTACGTTATCTGCCAGCGCCATGTTGGGGGACAACCAGACAGTCAAGGTGGCTGCCATACAGAGTACCCTGGACGAAAACATGCAGTTTTCAGATTATTTTGTGGGTCTTTTAAGATGGCCCAGCAAATTTAAGATATGGGAAAAGGTTAGTGTACGTGGGTTCAACCCTTACTCATTAAAGAGCAGTGATTACAAAGAAAATGTGGAATTAATTATCATGCGAGTTATTTAGTCTTGCAAACCTCATGGGCAACAAAAAGCCAAATGAAGGCATACAAGTCAATGGATGCGTATATTTTTTGTCTCTGGCTGGGTGAACACCCTCTACATGCGATGAATTGGTTCAGATAAAGTTGTAGTGTTTGGGAGGGTGAGTAAAGATGAGCTTATTAAGTTCGTTGTTCCCTGTCTTAACATTTTCACTGCATGTTATTTCTAGTTTTGTCAGTGACAGATTTTAGTTTATGTGTAAAACTACTTTCAGGTGATACAAATAAAGTGTTGAATTCAGCTGATTTAAAGGCTGTGTTATGTTTCATTCTGAGTTGAAGAACTTATTTGGATCAATATTGTAAAATATCTGCAGTGGTTCAGTTCATCCTTGGTTTAAATTTTGTTTTCCTCTTTCAGGGTATATTAATGTATGATAATGAGCTTTGAACCAAAGATAAGATTGAACCGCTACACAGCTAGCCACTTTTAAAAAATGGGATCGATTCTTCTATTTTCAACTTCATTGTTTTGTAAGACATACAACTGGCAGGGTTTTCTTAATTGGCATTTTTTATGGGATACCTTGAACAAGTAAACCACTCAGAGAGCCAGGGATACCCCTCTTAAAGTGTGGTTTTTGGCCGAAAAAGATGGCACTGTTAGAGCAGCCCACTGTGATTGTATGGCAGAATTGTGTGAAGCTTGTTCTCATGTTGGTGCAGTGCTTTTGCTGTGGAGTCTGGTGTTAGAGTTAGAGATTCCACCACTTGCACACAAGAAAAAAGCAAATGGATGTTCTGCTTGCAGCACAAATCCAGCAAAACCTGCAGAGTCTGGTTAAGACAATATGTTACCCTTATTACTATTATTATTACCCTGAAGCCCACAAGTCTTCAACTGCAGCCACAAAGTGGGGATGTAGAAATGAGGGTTGGGCACGTGAAGCTTACCACAAATCCATACATCAATTCCACAAGTCTTTAACAATTTCAGACAGTGGTCTGAATATTGATCCAAGGTGGCCATAGTTGGGAGCTTCCCCTGAGGGGTTTGTAAATTGCAAATGCTCTGGGCAGGGTGTATGTGAAACAAAATGTTGATATGTCTATAAAGATGCAGTAATCTCTGATGCTGCTGGCAAGAAATACTTTTGTTTAAAAAAAGATGAACTTGGTAACATTTACCTGGACAAATGCCATGCTCACTACTACCAAGTTCAAGCACAGATATTTATCTGTGAGGTTAAATATTGCGACTTTGTAGTGTACACAACACAAGATCTTTTTGCAGCGAATTCTTCATGACCGAGAGCTTCAGGCCAATTCACTACATGCTGCCACTGAATTTTCAGCAAATGCCTTTTGCCTGAAAAGGTGGGTGTTATATACGTCCACGTTGTGAAGTTCACACCCACATTAACTCACCATCACCAACATGTGATGAAGACGATGTGGAAGGGTCTTAGTGCTACCGTCAGCGACATGTGGGAGGAAGTACATTTATCGGGTGTGACAATGACACATGCCAGATAAAATGGTACCATATGTCATGTTTGAGGATGAAATAACTGCCTGAAGGAGATTGGTTCCGTCCGACTTGCCATAGGCTAACGAAAACAGACTACAATCCTAGTCAAAACGTTTAGGACACTGTGTTTCAGGTGAGGAAAATGTAATTCAAGTTTTTCCCCCTCCTCCCATGAACAGTGTTGTGTGTTAGAAGTCAAACACTTTTTACATATCTTGCAAACGTTAAGGACCTCTACTTTGTTCAGGGGGGGGGGAGGAATCTTGTTAAGGCCATGTTTGTGAATGTGTATTGCAGGTTGGCTGCAAATTCCATACAAAAACACGTGAAAAAGGGGAGGTGCCCTAAAACCTTTTGACCAGGATTGTAGCATTATTCAAACATGATGTTTATTTCGTTGCAACAAGTAAAAATAAACATCTTTTGCTACATCCATTGACATATAAGACACTGGTTAGCCTACATGAAACTTTTTGAAAAGTGTTTTATTTGTTACATGAACTGTATGTATTATGTTAACTCCTGGCTTATCAGGGGTGCTCCTTAAAGCTTTTTTTTTTTAATTTAATACTCAATAAGAAATCAGAATTACAACTGTATAGTAAATTGCTGGTAAGCATCCCCTTAACTACACCATTTTGATTACGGGAGAATTAAAAAATTATTAACCCTTTAAGGCTCAAGAATGATCAACATCAGTTTTCCTCAAACAATGTTAAGAGCACCTGTCTGTAAAAATCAAACATATTGTGGCAAGGTTGGAAAATTCGATTCCTGTGATACTTTAATGTTAGAAAGGCTAGGGTCTAACTAAAATCACTGCCCAGTTTTTTCTGGTGAAATAGTTTTATTTCAGAGATAAATGGAAATAACCATAATCCGTTGAAATCGTCATTTGAGGTGCTCAATATGACATGGGTTTGAAAGCCTCGCATGCAAACAATGATTACTCTACCGTCTTTAACCCATCACAGCCTTTTTTTACAACCTCTAAATA